ATGCCCTTCGAAAAGGATAAATCCATCTCCCTCCAGCTATGGGTTAAATAGCAGGGCATGCCTAGAGGCAGCAACCAGTCTTTGTCGTAGACTGCTGCTATAATGTAGTGTCTCTACAACAGCAATTCGTTACGGGACGCATCCCATATTCGCTGATCAGTCCTAATGAATTTAAATTGATTCGTAATAAGCGTGGCATAATCTGGTAATGGCACAAAATAAAGGGGTCTTAATGAGGATTGACCTCATTGCAACTATCCATGACATAAAGGAATAACTTACAGGCCATAATATAGGTGGCTTCTCAAGTAATTTAAACATTTTTTTAAAAAACCGAAGAGAATTCACATATTGACATATAAATAGATTTTCTTCATTTTTAATCTTTTATTAATGGCTACAAAGAATCTCTACGGCTATATTTCGAAGTGAATTCATAAAATGTTGAACTTGAAACATATTAATTTGAATGTTTTGAAAGTTTGAAGTTGACTTCTTAGTGATTTGTTAATTTAGAAGTTTTATCAAATCTCTTACAGTTTTCATCAGTTACTTTCATTGGGTGTTTTTTTTTTAATATGACATCCGGTTTTATCACGTGAAAAAATTTATTAAAGAAATACGTCAAAAAATGTATCCACCCTATCTAAGCTCTCTCTAAGAGGGGGCAGGCGAACGTCATTCGTTAAAGCTCCTTGTTCTTTACGATATACAAACTATGGACTGCTATGGTTATTCTTAAAAGTATTAGAGTGACTTTTCATTGTATTCTCTTTTCTGGTTTTGAATTAAAAGTTTTCCTTGTACTAGACTGGTTTCCAGCTAAGTCCTAAAATGTAAACTATAGATACACTGATACAGTAAATGCTGATGGTAGAGGGAAAAATAAAAACATTATCAAGTACGTATTTTAGTGCTGTCTGCATCTGAACATGATATAATTAGGCAATGATAGCGTAACGGATCGCGGTTCGGATTGAGGAATCGAAGAGCAATGTTCGAATTCCAGTTGAGTTCATTACATTCACTTCCGTGCTAATACACTTAGGCATAAATCCAACACTTCCACCCCAGCGACGGGTAAATAGTATAACAGACTGAGTTCTTTAGCCTTGGTTGACAACCGGTCTAGGAGAAGGAAAACTTTGAATTCAAAACTGTATGTAGCCTTGGCGAAGCATATACTATAGGGCTAAGGAAAGGTTCGTCGCATAGACTAGATATACCCTTGGAAAAGGTATGAATCCATTTCATCTCCCCCTAGCTATGGGTTAATTACTTGTGCCAGTAAATCATTATCATTTCAAAAAAACTCTTACAGCCTAAAATAATTTTCTGGCTTTAAATATCCTATAAAAGGTTGATAGATTATAAAGACAAATCAATCACTCAATCAAATACAAAACTTAAAACATATTACATATCAACCCTTGCTAAACATTATTATTGTTTATAATGTGATTTACACTATTGCTGATACGACCAACCTTAGATAAGCATATAATATATATATATATATATATATATATATATATATATATATATATATATATATATATATATTAAAAACTTTAAAAGTTAAAATAACCCTAAAACAATATCTAATAATGTGGTTAATTATTCTGTTGTATATTAATTTCGGTTATAAGGTTTTATTGGGAAGATGAAGATTGTAACTTCCAAGTCTGAAAAGTCTGTTCGATTTCGAAACCAATATTTAAAATAGCCGCATTTACCTCGGCTTGAACGCTGAGCACTGGCCCCGGTGGGAAATAAGCAACATTTTTATCCGCAGAACAAATCCTAAACTTTATATACATCTAGTTTGGGGAATGTGAGAACGCATCAAATGGCACGCAGTATTAAGTAGCAAACAGCGTATTCTCTATTCCTTTCTCAGTTTCAATATTTTATGATTGCCTCACAAAAATACAACCTTAAAGATTCTGTTCGGTCAAATATAACAGAAGAAAACTGAAGAAAATCTGTTCACATAGCATAATGTGTGAATCCTGTCCGTCTTCTCGAAATGAATAGGTAAATTATTTTTAGCAGGCTCTTACTTGACAGCTAAGTTATTCCCCTAGACCATAGCTTTTGTAGTGAGTTCGATCCTCACTGCTTACATTATCATTTTATGCCAATGCTAGTCTAAAACAAGCTAAAAACGGATAAACTCAAACTTATTAGGACTAATCGCAGAAAACAAAGAGAATTAAGGATTCAACTACAACTATATAGATCTGAAGAACAAATAATAAAAATATCGGCCTATGATTTCAAAAGAATTTTAGTACTTAACTAATATATTCAGGTGTACATGACCAGGTGTGTATGTAACGCTGTATGGATTGAAATGAAGTTTAATGGTTCTTGCATTCTCAAATACATATTTCGAGATCTATTTTGTGTTCAAGCAAAAAAAACACACAATTTAGTTAGCTCGATTATCCATAGCAAATATAAGCTAACCAACGCGATTTAATACATAGAAACAGAA